AACAATTTATTAAACTCTTTGGAGGAAAAGGGTATTCGGGAATCGTGAAGCGTCTAATTATGTGTAGTGGAATTATAGCCATTAACTCAGGCATGCGTCTTCTATCCGATGTATTGCGTACATCATTACTACAAGCATAGGCACAGATTGAATATAATTCAACAGATTGAATATAATTCAACATATAGGCAGGCAGTGTTCTACGACACCCGCATGTAGAAAAAGTGTAAATAACTTAATGTCCATCCGTTCTAATATCTAAATTCACCACATGTATTTACAAAGGCTAGAGGAACGAGAGAGGATGAGCTAAGTTTATCCTCATTCTCAGGACTAGAATATATACTTCTGCCACGTATGTGAACATTTAAATGAAACTCCAACATATAAACTCTCTGCTTAAAAATAAAGATACAGCATATCATCCTGCAACTCCCAATGAGTAACGTGAACTTATAGTTTAGAAAAAGAACTTATAGCTAATAGCATAATCCCCACAGTTTGTGAACTCCCACTGTGTAAAGTGAACTCGTAACATATATGAGGGCCTGCCTACACGTAACACACAAACTCCAACCACGTGTATTATGAGTCCCCATCATGTAATATCAACTCCGTTCATGAATTCCCAGCATGATATAGGGGCGTTATAGCCTTAGTTTCTGAAGCCCCTTCTAAGAATTTAATACACAACCCAAAGTAATAAATATGAACTCCGAACATATAGTTTTAACTCCCATAAACAAAGTGATGTGGTTTCCTATGATGTATTTTGTGATATGAATTGCCCAGCTAATAAGTTATCAACCACAGCCATGTTATCAAGATCACCAACAACATAAACAATATTGAAATAAACAATAATAACAACAAACAATAATAACAACAAAACATAACAAAATAAAACAAACATCAAACGATTGGTCACCAGTATGATGTGAAAGCATTCGACCTAGTCGACCACAATAAAGCTATTGACCTCGGGCTTCGGAGAAGTCTTATACCATGGCTTACAGACTTCCTCAGTGACCGACGCCAAGCTGTACACTTCCGAGGGGCTGTCTCCACCTTTCAGTCACTCACCTGTGGCGTCCCCCAAGGCACCAAGATGGGACCACTCTGCTTCCTTATGCTCATCAATGATGCCCTAAGAGAAACCCCTGCTCGCTGGAAATATGTCGACGACTCCACCTTTGGGATCAGAGTCAACAATTCTGCTCCCAACTATACCGCCCTTCAGGATTTATTGAACAGTCTCCAAAACTGGGCCACCAACAACCATGTCACCATCAACCATACCAAGACCATGGTTATGCACATCAACCTCTCCTCCGACATTGTCCCCCTCCTTCCATTACTTTAGGTCCGTACACACTCCAGGTTGTAGATTCCACGAAGCTCCTCAGCGTCACCATAGACAACAAACTAAATTGGAAACCACACGTCAGTGAAGTTGTCAAATCCTCCAGTTTCCGTCTCCACCTCCTCCGCCGACTCAAATCCCTCGGAGTTCCTGCACCCGAGCTCCTCAGTGTTTACACAACATTCATACTTCCCAAGCTCACCTATGCCTCCCCCACCTGGTCTTCCTCCCTAAATGCCACACAACGTAAACACCTAGAAAAAGTGCAAAAGAGGGCATGCAAGATTATTCTCTCCCCTTCCTACTCCACATATCAAGAAGCGCTCAACACACTGACCCTTTCGACTCTCACTGACCATCACCACGACCTCATCTGCAAATTTGGTAAGAAGCTTCTACACCATCCTCGACACCGGCTCCTACTACCACCTGAGATCCCTTGCCCGAGAATTGCTGTTCGACACCACAACCGCATCCAGCACGAACTGATCGCTATAAGAACAGCCCAGTCCCAACCATTGTAAAATTATCAATAACTTGTAATAAACCAGTGTATTCCTCCCAGTAAATACTACTTCTTGCACTGTCACTATGTTGAAATGCACTGTAGTTTGAGCTTTTCCCCATCTAGTTATTATATATCTTATTTGTATCACTTATGTTACTTGTATATTATTTGTAATTCGAAACCCATTCCCCAAATATGTAACTGTATATTTTCAGCCTTCTGGCTGCCAAGCTCTTTCAATAAACCGTTAATTATTATTATTATTATTATTATTATTATTATTTATTATTAAATAAAGATTTTCAAATTAAGATTACATGTCTCCCGCCATATTGTTCTACACGTTATTTGGGAAATAAATTTGCAACAAAATCAATTGTGTGAGTAGTTACTCTATCAGGAGTGTCCACTACTGAGCCAGGCATTCAAAATGTGATACATTTAATGCAAATAGTATTAGTAATAATTACAGTATATCAATATGATAATAATAATAATAATAGTAATAATAATAATAATAATAATAATAATAATAATAATAATAATAATAATAATAATAATAATAATAATAATAATAATAATAATAATAATAATAATAATAATAATAATAGCTATGACGTGCGACCTTTTAATCCTAAAGGACGTAGGGGCCTAAAGGGTTATGATGATATTAATAGTCATGCTGAAAAAGGCGATCTTTGTAGTAGATCTTTCGTCTGATTACTCGGTGGACATAAATCTGTGTCTCTACATATTTCTCAAAAAATGTGACCTTGCCCCTTGACCTTTTTTACTTTAAGAAAGCACTAACTTGGGGGACTGTTGTAGTAAATGTGTAAATATTGTAGTTCTGTCCGTCAGCGACACACATACAGATTATTTGTGAGTTCTTGGAAACCTAACGTTTTAAAGTCAAGTGAAGCGAAAAAGTCATTAAAGTAAGTGCCTTGTTTAAATTTTGGTTTGGTTATCTAAATTTGGCTTTAATTGGCAAGATCATGATCTTGTTGTACGTTTGTTGAATTTCATAATCGCTTTTTTTTTACTTCAAGAAAGCCTGCAAATATACTTAGGATCGTCGTAAAAGAATACCCATATCTTAGCTGACTAAACATAAAAATCTGGACACTTATTTTGATAAACTTGCATATGAAAACCCTGTGTTATATTGGTCAAACCTGAGCTGGCTTATATCAGGAGCTATAGTGCTGGTGTAAAAACACCTTTACATTATATAAAAATTCACCCAGATGTATTATACCTAAATCTATAATCCCAAAATATTCATTAAGTTATTCAACCATACCTCAGTTGTTGACATTATACATGGCTGAGGTTGTAGTTCCTTCAGAGGGTGGGCGAGGTCAAGCTCACTAATCACAACAGTTTATCTGACGTGTTTCCTCTCCCACACTCTCAGAGGGCAGGCGAGGTCTACTAAACCCCAACACCTCGCCCGCTCCTCATCTCTCTCACGTCATAGAGGCAGGAGAGAGATCAGATTCTTATCACTAGTTAAGAGGAGAACACCTAACTTAAGTGTTCCCATATAAGTGTACTTAAGCCCTTTTCCCTGGAGAGAATTCACAATACATTCTCTCCCAAACTAAATACTGTATATATAGAATCTTCAATATTAAAGCAAGTCCAGAAGTACACGTGTTTCCATCAACTCCGCCACTTAAGAGTTCCAGAACTAATTTAAAACAATTGCGTGTGATATAAAAACAACTATCACATACTGGTGATGTTCTGTTATGTCTCCCTCTCGTGTTGTGTTAGGTGCTATAGTGCTGGTGATGTTCTGTTATGTCACCCTCTCGTGTTGTGTTAGGTGCTATAGTACTGGTGATGTTCTGTTATGTCTCCCTCTCGTGTTGTGTTAGGTGCTATAGTGCTGGTGATGTTCTGTTATGTCTCCCTCTCGTGTTGTGTTAGGTGCTATAGTGCTGGTGATGTTCTGTTATGTCTCCCTCCCGTGTTGTGTTAGGTGCTATAGTGCTGGTGATGTTCTGTTATGTCTCCCTCTCGTGTTGTGTTAGGTGCTATAGTGCTGGTGATGTTCTGTTATGTCGTGTTGTGTTAGGTGCTATAGTGCTGGTGATGTTCTGTTATGTCTCCCTCTCGTGTTGTGTTAGGTGCTATAGTGCTGGTGATGTTCTGTTGTGTCTCCCTCTCGTGTTGTGTTAGGTGCTATAGTGCTGGTGATGTTCTGTTATGTCTCCCTCCCGTGTTGTGTTAGGTGCTATAGTGCTGGTGATGTTCTGTTATGTCACCCTCTCGTGTTGTGTTAGGTGCTATAGTGCTGGTGATGTTCTGTTATGTCTCCCTCTCGTGTTGTGTTAGGTGCTATAGTGCTGGTGATGTTCTGTTATGTCTCCCTCTCGTGTTGTGTTAGGTGCTATAGTGCTGGTGATGTTCTGTTGTGTCTCCCTCTCGTGTTGTGTTAGGTGCTATAGTGCTGGTGATGTTCTGTTATGTCTCCCGTGTTGTGTTAGGTGCTATAGTGCTGGTGATGTTCTGTTATGTCTCCTCTCGTGTTGGTGTTAGGTGCTATAGTGCTGTGATGTTCTGTTATGTCTCCCTCCGTGTTGTGTTAGGTGCTATTGATGTTCTGTTATGTCTCCCTCTCGTGTTGTGTTAGGTGCTATAGTGCTGGTGATGTTCTGTTATGTCTCCCTCTCGTGTTGTGTTAGGTGCTATAGTGCTGGTGATGTTCTGTTATGTCTCCCTCTCGTGTTGTGTTAATATTATTCCTGGGAAGTACAACCCTGAGTCACTTGTTAATGACGTCACATTCTTGTCAGCTGGAGCCTTTTGTTGTACTTGTTAGATACTATAATATTTACCTGGCTTATAGTAGAATGTTTTTTCCTTGTTTTCATCATTTTCTTCGTGTGTTTCAAATATTTAAGACTAAGAGAAGTTTTACTGTGTACAATGGAAAATACTCTCAGAACAAGTAAATGTTTCCGTGCTTGATATGAAACAATACCATCCTAATAAGTAAATATTACTTGATGTGTTTACAATGAAAAGTAATAATCCTTTTATAAAACTAACATAATAAAGAGTTCAATGTTGTTTTAGTGGTTTATTGGTTATTTGAAGAAAAAAAGAAGAAATATATATTCGGATTGCATTTTAATATATAACATCAATAAATGATCATTTACAGTTGTGGATATTATCTACAGAGTAATTAAACAATCACAAATTAATGATATAAATAGTGACGGAAGACAGGTAAAATATAAAAGGTAATTGGAATGGAGATAATAAAGAAGAAACAGAGTATTGTGTCAGGTATGTGGGGGGGGGGTCAGCAAATGGAGCGAAGAGAATGAAATAAAGTGGCAGACTGAAACACGAAAATAGTTTAGACTTCTATATCAGCAAAGGCCAAGGTGAGATAGGTACAGGGAACCCCTAAACCGACACCACCGTATGAGAGTGAAGCGTGGACTCGTGATGCGGAACGAAGGAACAAATCAGAAGTGAGAGAAATACAGTGTTGAGAGTATTGTGTGGGCAGTGTTGAGCAGAGAGCGGGTCATGGTATTAATGTCAATACCTATATATATATATATATATATATATATATATATATATATATATATATATATATATATATATATATATATATATATATATATATATATATATATATATATATATATATATTGCAATTATAACACTGCATTACGTCATAAGAAATAAAAACGATTGTTTATATAAGATAGCAATGAAAGAATGTGCTATACTTATCCCTAAAATCTGGTTTATAAGCAAAAATAAATCCTGCTCGTCGAATTTTGCTCTTTTGCGTGTTTTTGTGTGAAGCTTTTGAGTGGCTGCAAAAATATTTTCTGCTGCCATAGTTACCAGCAACACGTTGAAATTCATCATGCAACATGATATCCAAGTGTGGAATTATGAAGAAAAAAATGGAGTATTAAAAAACCGAATGTAGAAGCATTGTTTGACACGCAGGTCTTTATCATTCAGATTACGTTAGTTATATTCCATTGAATTTCCCGGCAAGTCTTGAGACACCCTACCACTTTGTTAAGCAGTAAAATGACCAAAAGTATAATGCACAATAAAAATGCACTTTTCCCTAGTATTCAACGGCAATATTCACTTTCGTCATTTAGACATTCTAAACATATTTTTTCATAACCTCCTTGCAAGCGGTTTCATTTACGGTTTATTCTACAGCACTTTCATCAGTAGGTCTATTATTAACACGGTAGTTTGTTCTCCCTTATTATGCATTTTCACCTGGTGGTATCGAACACACATACACAATTTACAGGTCTCTATGGACGTTTGTGACTGGTTGTCTTTAATACCTCACTGGTTTTGGGACGTTTGTGACTGGTTTTCATTAATACCTCACTGGTTTAGGGACGTTTGTGACCGGTTGTCTTTAATACCTCACTGGTTTAGGGACGTTTGTGACTCGTTGTCTTTAATACCTCACTGGTTTAGGGGGTCTTGGTGGAGCATTGTTGATTTCTTGATCATTCACCATAGTTCGTGAGGGCCTTGCTGGCCTTGAACCTTGCGATGAGTCATCATAGTTAGATTCAGCTTGTACTACCTGTGCATTTTGTCTTGGGTAATCATAGTTAGATTCAGCTTGTACTACCTGTGCATTTTGTCTTGGGTAATCATAGTTAGATTCAGCTTGTACTAACTGTGTATTTTCTCTTGGGTAATCATAGTTAGATTCAGCTTGTACTACTGCATTTTCTCTTGGGTAATCATAGTTAGATTCAGCTTGTACTACCTGTGCATTTTCTCTTGGGTAATCATAGTTAGATTCAGCTTGTACTACCTGTGCATTTTCTCTTGGGTAATCATAGTTAGATTCAGCTTGTACTACCTGTGCATTTTCTCTTGGGTAATCATAGTTAGATTCAGCTTGTACTACCTGTGCATTTTCTCTTGGGTAATCATAGTTAGATTCAGCTTGTACTACCTGTGCATTTTCTCTTGGGTAATCATAGTTAGATTCAGCTTGTACTACCTGTGCATTTTCTCTTGGGTAATCATAGTTAGATTCAGCTTGTACTACCTGTGCATTTTCTCTTGGGTAATACCTCACTGGTTTAGGGGGTCTTGGTGGAGCATTGTTGATTTCTTGATCATTCACCATAGTTCGTGAGGGCCTTGCTGGCCTTGAACCTTGCGATGAGTCATCATAGTTAGATTCAGCTTGTACTACTTGTGTATTTTCTCTTGGGTAATCGTAGATAGGCTGACTGGCCGTTGCTGCCTTGTCTACTGATACTGGGAGTTCTACTCGACAGTCATTGCTGGTCTTTATGGGTTTACTTCCATTCGGCAGATAATCGTAGGGGTTGGTGTTGGCTGCAATGTACTGCGTTGCCAAGTTTGTGGTGTTGATGTAGATCGATTTTTCATCATCAGTATCAGTATCAACATCGGCGATGTTGATATAACGGTCATTGTTGTAGCCATGATCATCCCATTCGTAGACAGAGTTGTTATCGCTGTTGGCTTGGATGTTAAGATTGTAAATTTGGTCTTTTTTTACTTGTGTATTTTCTCTTGGGTAATCGTAGATAGGCTGACTGGCCGTTGCTGCCTTGTCTACTGATACTGGGAGTTCTACTCGACAGTCATTGCTGGTCTTTCTGGGTTTACTTCCATTCGGCAGATAATCGTAGGGGTTGGTGTTGGCTGCAATGTACTGCGTTGCCAAGTTTGTGGTGTTGATGTAGATCGATTTTTCATCAGCAGCATCAACATCAACGATGTTGATATAACTGTCACTCTTATGGCCATGATTATCCCTTTCGTAGACATAGTTGTTAACGCTGTTGGCTTGATTGTTAAGATTGTAAATTTGGTCTTCCCCGCTATAAATTTGACTGTGGTAGGTGTAACTGTTTCCGTGAGGAGTTTGGGGGTGACTGCTATATGTATTTCCATGTTGGTTATCCACACGTTCCGGGTGCTCGTTCCCGCTGTTCCTAACATTAATCTCGTTGGAGTTCATTCTCCAACTGGCTGCATAAAGGTTGACTTCCTCCGACGTGACAATAACGCTGGTATCAGGCTGTCTCCAACTACTGGTAAATCCTCTCCGGCGAAAGCTTGCCGCAATGTTGCTGGTGATCGACTCCTGTCTTGTCTTGAATATCTTGAAAACTTTTACGAAGATTATGATGACGACGGCGATAACAATCGCAACGACAGTGACAAGACTTCCCAGGATGATCCAGTAAGTATCGGAATCATCGTCGTCTTTTGGGGAAAAGTACCTTGTTTCGGTCATATTAGTCATCTTGACTGATCATTGGACAATGTCAGTCGGTGGTTCACAGGAAAGAGAACAGATAGATATTATCTGCTCCCGGGCGCATAGTGCTGCCTCTAGATTTGATTCACTCGTATGAAAGGCACAAAAAATCTTTCTATTAGGCAATATAATGCTGACAGCTTATATTGTGTCTTTAATCAAAGTTTCATATATGCAACCAAAATCAATATTTCACTTGTAAAGGTCATTTGTTCAATAAAAATCCAGGAAGAGGATCACACCTCCTGCACTTCACAACACCATCAACACTGAAGTGGATCAGATGCCTTCTATGACCAATCAGTAAAGTGTTACTTTGTCAACTATTTTTGCTCATTAGCTCAGGTGAAGTTGATGACACTACAGCACCACAAGATTTTTATAGTCCCAAGTCGACTATCACTGTGGTCGTAATGAGGAAAAATCCTTGTGTAACGCTGAGCTCACTCGTTAGTCTTATTTATAGCTGACAAAGGATCTTGACAGTTATGCCACATACCACAAAACTCACCGTGAAGGGATGGGAGAAAAGCTAGCATTGTTGGGCATTAGATGTTTTTATGATGTAGTTCTTTTGAGTGGGTAGGTTTTTTCAATAACTTTTGATTTTCAAAACATTTGAAAGTGTGTTTACCTTTATATTTTAGTTTGTTTTTGTTGTTTTTTACTCACAATTTTCAACTTGGCAACTTTATTTATCTTGAAGTCGCATCCGGTGTGGACGCAGTGCGACACCCGTGACACGCTTTATATTCATTCTGTTCACCAGGTTGATTTTTTTTTCATCCACACTCACTACAACAACGTTCACCTCCTTGAAACTACGCATAGCTCCAGTTGTGTATGATCATAATGTACAGAAATGTGTACAACGCACGTACTGTGTTTGCACCATGGATTCCTTTGCGCATAGAGGACTCTTGCGCACGCGCCAATTGCTACATTTAACATAGAAAACGTTATATCTGGGAGACTGCTCATTTCTGTCACGAGTAACTTCTTTTTTCATCAGTGAAATAATTTTCGGCACTGTGTATGTACGTTTCTCTTGATAAATAACCACTGCTGAGGGAGGTATTTAAGAGTGACAGACGAGAAGGTACTGACGAGGAATCACCTGAATATTAGGCATTCCAGTTTACTTCACCTGATGAAACGCGCTAACTTAACCCAAGCCTAATCTAACTCCACCCAGGGATCGTTAGGGTCTTTAATCATTTAATCGTCAGGTGAAATAAACTGGGGGCTAATCTTCCGGTGATCCCAGACGAGATATACTGTAGCTTCATGTGAAGAAAGAGGAGATGAAGAATAAACGGGAAGAACAAAGCGAAAAGGTTTACAGGGGTGTGTGAGGGTGACTACATCGATAATAATAGAGGTTCTAAGACGTTTAGGAAATCAGAACCGAGTATCTAAACGTTGAAAAATATATCTTGTTTTAGAAATATATGCTGATGACAATAAATGTGACAAGTAGAGAGACATCCCCACAAAACAAAACTAATCAGTATGCTCTGCAAGTATTCGATTTCTCGGAGTAATAAATACTATATATATATATATATATATATATATATATATATATATATATATATATATATATATATATATATATATATATATATATATATATATATATATATATATATATATGAGTCGGAGAACTGGGTCTATTCAAATGGAGACTACAGTTCCGGAGGATCTTTCCTACTGACGTCACGTAAAACCCAAACAAAAATCGCCCGTTCTCATTTCTGCTATGAAACAACAGTATCGATTACGGACAAAGGGGGCGTGAATTAGATTGCATTCTATCAACACGTTTGTGGGATTACAAGAGGATTAGAGACCCTAGCTTATATAACCTGATGATTAAACACCGTAACGCTAATCTAACCTAACCCTAACCTACCCTAATCTAACTAAACCTAATCTTACCAAACCTACAGTAATTTGGCCTAACCTACCCCAGTCTAGTCTAGCCTAACCTACACTAAATTTAAAACTTAGTGTTAGGTGCGTCAGGGTGTTTTTTTTTAATCAGATAAAATAAACTGGGGTACCTAGTCTTCACGTGTTTGTGTATTAGTTGTGTTGTCTATATCCGGCTTCTGACAGTTTACGAGTTACTGTTGTTGTCTTTTGTCTGGTCTCTTGAAAAACATTTGTGAATTAGTTGCTTTATAAGTATCAGGTTTCTAGTAATACGTATTAAAAAGTTCATTGCTTGTGTAATACAGTTTAATTTTGTTTCACTTATTGATTACATTAATTAAGTAAAACTCACATTTGATTTTTTTAATGATATAAAAAGCGTCCGTACAATATACAAAATTAAATAAAAGAAAAAAAAGATACGGACTAATAATAAAATGCAGCAATAAAACAATGACATGTAAACACACTAAATAGAAATAAACACCAATTAAGCCTGAAAAGCAATTAAACTTTTTCAGAATAGGGATAACTTTTGTTTTTATTGATATAACTAAATGAAAACTAATTCTTATATATCAAAATTTGCTCTGTTTAATTTAAGACGTTGTTTACCATCATAAGATAGCCAAATTATACCTTAAGTAAAATTATACCTTAAGAAGGTTAGATGAGGTTAGGCTTTGTGTGAAGCCAATGATTTATACGTACAATGATGACGTTCGTGATCGCTTATGGCCATTCAGAAGATTAAGGTTGGAACGGCTTCCTACCTTCCCCGGAGATCCTGCTCTGCCATGAGTGCAGTCACCTTCCCCCGCTGTTCATCAAATTCTGGCTGTGATCTCATCAAGGCTCGGGACTCGTGGGCTGTGTCCTCAGACCTTCACCTATCGAATGTCAATTCTCTGGTGATCTACCCCATACCACGACCGTCAGTTCATCTCCTCCGTCTGTGCCCCGGTGTTATACTGCCATTTCAAGACATCGGCCGCTGTCTCTCGAGTGTGGAGTTGAATGGACGCTTCCCCAGTGTGGATCACCGTGTTCCAGAACCTTCCAGGGCCACTGCCGTAGAAATATCTGGTCATTGTTTGATTCTTTTGTTGTTGATTCCTTTAATTGCTGACTCTCCTTTCATTGTTTGATTCATCAGTTGTCAGCCCCCAGTAATTGTTTGACTCCATTAATTGTTTGACTCCATTAACTGTTTACTGCATTAATTGTTTGACTCCCGTAATCGTTACTTGATGTTTGTTGAGTGGTGTCAGAGTTTTGTGTTATATTTTTTATAGGAAAGAGATGTCAATCTCAAACGGTTGTTTGTTATTCCTCAGAAAACCATTGTCCTTGACTTTCCTTTATTAAGATACTGATTAGTCTGGTAAGGGATTTCATCCTAAGTCCCAGGCCTTTACATATATATATATATATATATATATATATATATATATATATATATATATAATATCTTCATAAAATCACAGGGAAAAATGAAACAATGGAGTACCTTAGCTTTCGTCTTTATTCAAGACATCTTCAGAGGCAACTGAATTACATGGACCGAGAGAGGCTCATGTACACAGTGTTAAGAACCACGCCACCAATTGTCATGATCTACCTACCCAGCACTACGAACCACGCCATCTATTGTCCTGATCTACCTACCCAGCACCACGAGCAACGCCATCTAGGGACGAAACACGAGTATGACTCGTCTTAGTTACCACTCCCGGGTTTCCCTTCTCCATATCCTGGTTGTTGCGTCACCTCCTCAAAGTCTTCTTTGTCAGCTCCAGTTCGAGGAAAGTTCAGTTCACTCTGGGAAGTGACCACAGGATCACCTATCCTGGAAACCTACGGCACAGTGACTACCTACCGTCTTCTACAATACTCAGCCTTACTCGTCAGCCATCTCAGCTCCGCACTTAAGTATTTGTAATCTTATATTGCCTCCCCGCCTCCACCTTGCTTCAAATTATTGTATGTTGTATAAATATGTATATACTGTCAATGTTTAGGTTAAGTATGGTTAAGGGTAAATTATAGAAAGCTGAATATTTTGTTAAGGAATTTATGGTACTTTATTATACACAACAAAAACTCGCATCCTTTGTCTACCCTTTTATAGTCCGATTGTCTTTGTTTTTGTTTTTTGTTGTTGCCTGTTGGGATCTGGGTAGACTTTTAACTATATTCTAAATCCCCAACTCGTAACAAATGGCGACCCTGACAGGACATGAGGTCAAGTAAAAAAACATGACATCCCTCAAGAGATCCTTTGGTACCCCGCTAAACAGTGACAGGCCTACTCTGATCGGTCCAATGGCGACAAACGCCACCCTCAATCATCAACGGCAGTCTCAAACGGCAGTCAATCTCTCGCAGTCAAACTCCGGTCAACTCCGGTCAACTCCAGTCAAGTGGGTTCTGACGGAAACCCTGAAATGAACTCACTGTTAGCTCTAGTTAACTTTACCACTGCCCTATCTAAACCTGTCTGAGATCGAATGAGACTTACTTGTTATACTGCAATAGTGCAACACAGGTGACTAGGCCACGTGACTATTTCTGTGACAGACGCGCAGGGACGTCTTGTTTTGTATGAATCCTCCCCGCGACTGAGACCTAGCCAGCGTCGCGTCTCCTCAAGGCGTTAGCTTAGGTCTACGTGACATATTTTCCGCCTAGCTAATAACTCCTTAGGACACCCGTAACATTATTCAGACTGATAAACGATCTATCATAATTTCAAATTCAATAATAGTCCCTTACTTCATGAATCGCATCATCATTAATTCGGTAAATTACATTTAATATCATATAGGCCTAGTTCCACCATCTCTCGCTATGAGCAGGCAGCGCTCTCTTCCCTCAGATGACCTTGAACGCTCAGTATCGCTAACGGCGGGGCATTTGAAATTACTCTGAAATTTCTGAATATTACATATATATACATATATATATATATATATATATATATATATATATATATATATATATATATATATATATATATATATATATATATATATATATATATATATACAATGAAGACAATTTTATTAATGATTCGGAAACTCAACTACAACCACAGATCCTCACATCACATTTCTTCATTATTTAAACACATATACGAACATTTGGAAGCTTCTCACGATCTATAATAACAATTAATAGTTTATTATTATACAAATGTTACCTTTGGCTTGTTTAATATTTACCCTGACAGTGATACAGCCGAAAACAGATCCACCAATCACAATCATCTTTACATACAGCCTTCCTTTACCAAGTATTGCCAGGTAAAATTGTGAGCACAAGACCCAGGGTGGGGTCGGTGCATCTTTGGCTGACTGTACGTGTCAGGAGCATTTTATCACATGCAGGTCTTTGTCAGTCAGATACATTAGTCATATTCCATTGAATTTCCCAGTAAGTCTTGAGGCACTATAGCACTTTTTTTTACGGGGATTAGCCCAC